TCTGTCATGCATAGAAGAAAACTGATTTTTTTTTCTTTATTTTTTGACTCACTCAGTGAAAGACATGTTTGATCATTAACCAACAATGCCACATATTATTAGGTCTGATTTAAAAAACCTTAGTTCAATTTGTCACAAAATTTTTCAGAAGGATAATTTTTCATAGTAGATGTGTATCTAGCCCTGTTTTTCTTTTTTTTTTTGGTGGGGGTGGAGTTGCTTTGTTTTGATGGAAGCTTGCATCACTTTACATCAGCAACAGACACAGCAGCAGTCTGGACGTCCCCAAGCCATGAAGATACCTCACCTTTACAGCTGTGAAACCATGTTCAATCTACACATCGTCACTCATCATAAAGGCTCTATGATACTAAATTTGAGAACTTATTAGGAACATGCTGCAAAATCTTTTTTTTTTTTTTTTTTTTAGCCTGGTTTATGTGATGGCTAGCTACAGTAGAAGTTAGGCATCAGTGGTATGAGTATATGCCACTTAGTTATTTAGTTTTTTGTTTACTTTGTTCATAAAATGAAGAAAAATTATGCCCTAAATTATAGTGAAGAGATCACATATTTTTTTCTTTCCACTGTATTTTTTTCACAAAAATCATTAGCTGATAGTTAAAATATTTTATCATTGTTTTGTCAATATTTTTTAAAATGAAGACACTTTCTGTCCATATAATAAACAATACGGCACAAGACCGTAAAAAATAAGTAATTCCTTAATTCCCAATTTATCCATTGAAACACATGTTATGCACATACACACAGCAGTCACCTTACGTCACCCACCCACATCTTGTTCCCACCCTCCACTAAATAAAACTTTTGGCATGCCCGAGGTGTTGTAATTGGCAGCCGATTTGCCATACCGATAGACTCCTTTCAGTCCTATGGGTCAAGAGTAATTTACTGAGCTGCTAAATGGCTTCTTTTTTTTCTCTCTTTTTACGAGTCCAAACCCCACTCCACTGCCTTCTCCAGCATCCATATTGGAATTCCCATCCAGTCTGTATTACAAGCAGAGATGATGGCTTAATCCCTTGTTAATTAGGGACAACATCTCCAGCAGCTGAGGCTAAAGTGAAGAGCAGCTAAGGCTCCAGGGATGTGAGCACTCTGGCCGGGCTTGTGGCCTAGTCTTAGAGCCTGGCTCATGTTCAATGGACTGGCTGTGGATGGGGGGCACCGGAGCTTGGATCTCTCACTGGATGAGGATTAAAAGGGCCTGCTGCCTAATCCCCCATTGATGGCCCATCTCGGCTAATGGAACTTGGACAACTGGGCAACCGGATGCTGCTTGTGGTCCAGGTCTCCTCTAAACCACTTCCTCTTTAGTTGGGTCAGGCTGCCACTGTGGCTGTGGCAGTTTTTTTTCTTGGAGATTTAGTATTTGCTGGCCTCAATAATACTTTTAGACTGCACAAATCATGTAAAGTGCCTTTTCCCTGAGATGTGTTGATCATATTTATACACCCAAGTCTTTCTATTCACAATATTTAAATAGATTATGTAAGATTATCTTAAATTCTTTTTAAATATGTCTCATACAAGTACTACTCATTGAATGAGAATATCATGAAAAATTTAATTAAAAACATACAAATTGAAAAATTGAAACCCATATATTTCACGATTCTTGTAATCACAGGAACAAATTGTTAAGGCATTTCTTTATGCATTTTTATATTTAATGTTTAAAAAACAATAATAAATTAAAACAGCAAAAAAACAAAAACAGATCATTTGTTTTCAACTACAGGGAATTGATGCATTGGGGATCTAATCATAAGGAAACATTTTTATATAATGTAAAACAAGGTAAGGCAGAGGAGTAGATGTTGGGAGTGTCATGAGTGTTTTGGGTAAACTGCTTTCACACCAGGGCTCATGGTCTTTCTTCCTGCACAGCTACAGCCTTTACATCAAAACATGAAAAATAAAATCCAAAGGATAGAGAGCTATCACTCCACTGGGTCTAGGTCTACATTAATTTAGTGTAGGGAAAAATGTGTTTCTTATGTGTTATTTATTTCTTTTTTTATTTTTCTTTATTCCAAGAAAACATACAATAATTGTGTAATAATAGTGCAAATAGAAAAACTATAACAGACTTTCTATAGAATCATTACCGAACCAAGAGTAAAGTGAGGGGCCAAACCATAAATCTGTCCTTCTTCTGACAAAATTCCTTCCTTCCTTCTAGGCCAGTGTTTCCCAACCGGGGGTACGCATACCCTTAGTGGTCCACGGATGCATTGCAAGATGTAAATGAAAAATTTCTTAGGTAGTAAAATGAAATAGGGCTGGAACCTGTTTTGTTTTTTGGGGACCCAATTAAATAATTAAATAAGCTTTTATCAACTGAAAGTAAGTTTTTCTTTAAGTTAACCTTCAGCTTTGATACATCAAAACCAAACAAAGTAACAGACTGGATGTAGAGAACAGCCTGGTATCAGCTGTTTTTACCACAGAGCTATCGGGGCACACAGAGAGCTCAGTTGTCTTGAGGAAAACAAAGTAAAACTAAATAAGTCAGTCTGACTATAATTTTTGTTCTGCATTTTGTCCCCAATTCACCAAGTTTAAATGTAATTATAAGGGAGTTACTCAGATGAGCAGCAGTTTTATGAACACAGGTGTATAATAGTATTTTATTTTGTATTTATTTTGATTCCTCATTAACTTTCAGGTAACACATTTATGTTTTTCATTCGAGATGGAAAGAATGAAATGCCTAAGAATTAAATGCTCAAGTTAAAATAAAAATAGTTTTTATTTTACAATGAGTTATTGTACGTTCCACTTATCAACATACTTTTGACTGAGATGGGTACACAAGTCAAAAAAAGTTGGGAAACACTGTTCTAGGGGTTTAGGTGACAACAAGGGAGCAAGGAAGGTCATGGCAATCTCTAAGGATGCACAGTATCTGACTGTAGGAGGTGCTTGAAAATGTAACAGTACATCTAATTGGCTCATCCTGTTCTCTCATGGTTTTATTAGTGGAGTGCTTACATTTTTGGAGTCCATTTTATAGACTGCAGTCTGAAGCACCAGGACTCAGTTTTGTGGCCCTGGGTCATTGTCATTTTAATTTGAGTTTTAGGAACCTTAGATTATCTTTGTTAAGCTTTGTGGTAAATCAATTGAACCATTCTACCCCTTCAGCCAATTGTCAGCAATAATTAATTTATGACTGTTTCTGCAGTATTTGTTAGTTCAATCCCTAAGTCTATGTTCACTCTGTTTTTTCTCGTCATAGTAGCTACATCTGATCTGTTCCTGTTTGACTGTGACACCATTTTGCAAAGAAAAATCTGATGGGCTGGTGCAATCATTGTGTTTAACTACAAATGACAGAGTGGGGTCTGTTTTTCAGTGCTAAGTTCTGTATTTATCGATCAGTGCTTCTATGTTCCTCTTGTACCCTTTGAACCCCCAGTCACCCTTAGCAGAAGGCTGCGAACGCTAATTCTGGTTCTACTGGAGGTTTTTCTCCTGCTAAAAGAGAGTTTTTCCTCTCCACTGTTGCTGTATCCCTGCTTGGTTTGAGGGGATTATTATGGATAGTGTTAGGCATATATCAATCATACCAACTGAGCACTGCTGTATTTTTCAATGGAAAAGACTCCTGTTATTATGCTATTCCTGTACAAGGCACCTCTGGTCCGGCGTCATCTGCACATTATTATGCACGTCATCAGCAGGAAAGCATCAGCTTTGGTTGCACCAGCCATCTTTACTCCACAATCAAATTAGCCCTGATGAGGCTTGAGCGCTGTGACCTCCATGGGCCCAGTCACTTCCTAGCCTCACAGAAGACAGAGAAGATCTAAGAGTTTGATTCTTTAGGGAGAACAGGGGTTTACATACAGTACTGATTTCTGATTATATTACCTACTCATTTTATTAATATATTTACTTTGGAAGTGACTGCATTATGGAAACATGATCCTCCAACCAGGTGCTTTTAAGTTGTTGTTATCTATGAAAAGCTTAGAATTTACAAAAGGTCTTTTGTGTTTATTATACTTTTGATTGGTTCCTGAAACTAGCATATATTTTTGATGCTCTGACTTTGGCAATCAGCCCAGTGCTCCTAAATCCCTTTTGGACATGCCTTCCCACTATCTCCCTCCTTTCTTATCTGTCACCTATCGTTAACGCTTTTCTGATACACTTTGATCAGATGTGAACGTGAATGCCTGCTGCTGCCGCTGCTAATTCATTGTTTTCTCCACATCATACAAAAAGTGGTTTCAGAGTTTGGATTTGAATCTGTTAGAGAATCATTTAAAGAAGCTAAATGATTGGGAAAAATATAGCAGTCTCAATTTGATTATTATCAGAAATAAATTTCCTCAATACGTATTTCTTGTACTGTACAAATTTTCTGTTATTTCAAAGGCATGGTGAAGCTCTCAGCTGTACAATCATAAATGTTTTTTTCACAGCTACATGGTTGGATAACATGAGACTGAGTCACTAAACCAACCTTATTTCACTTAAACCCATGAAAGAGCCAAGCAGAATACGAATTATTTCATGCCATACAGGCTTTGAATATCTGGATGGCTTGGTCCCTCCAAGTGTTAAGAAGTTCATCATCTAATCACAGTCCCAGAAAAATATCTTTCCCCAGAAATGTTTAACAGGATGGAATATTAACCTTATTTTTGCTTTTTTTGTTTGGTATCATCCAACATTTAATTAGCAACAGAACAAACAATTAGTTATAACGATTAACATTATATGAGGAAAGAGGAAAACAAAGACATGCTTTGAAATATGTGAGTGGCACAGGATGATTTGATCTTTTTTAAAGTGCACCAGAATAAGTTGCAGGGTCAAGGAGAAATTACGATTTAAAAATGTGTAATATAGTAGCTGATTTTCAAATAATACCTGTTATCTGCAATGCCCATTCCTGTTCTTCATCAGGAAAGCTCTAATATATATTGAGCAAATTTATGAAACAAGCCTTTCTATTACAGGAGCGCTCCAGCTTTGCCCAGCTGACCTGCAGATTTGATATGGATCAGTGAGGACTCGCTGAGAGAGCGGAGCGTGGAAGAACATGGAAAGAAATCACAATCAGATCACACAATTACACTCCGGATGACTGCAGATTGGGTGGCAGCTGAATGGTCTCAGTGAAGGCTGAAAACGAGAGAGAAGGTTTCAGCAGGAAGTTCATGTCCTGTAATTTTCAAACATGTTAAAAGTGATATCTTGACAGTTTGAATATTTTTTTTTCTTTCAGACCACACTGCGGAGGAGGAATGGTTGACACTTACCCTGTTAGCACTTAAAGAGAAAATCATCTTGTTAAAGTTGTTAGGATTCTGACCTTTAGCTCAGTAATTTTAAAAAGTGTTGAACAGAGAAAAGTGAAAAGAAAGGAAAATTTTATGTTAAGCGACATTAGGTCGATACTCTTCGTAACTGTTCATTTATCCTTAATAGTATATTTATGTTGAGCAACTGATAAAATATATTAGACATCTCAGATACTGCATTATTAGATTATGTTTAAGGGAGGATTCTTAGAATAATTAATTTGCAAGCAATGATTAAAAATACAATATAATGTCACTTTTTGAACTCTAACTGTTGGAGGCACTGCTTGTGATAAAAGTTTAGTAGCAAGTTTGGGAGCTTTAGGCTGGTGTCTGTGGAGATTCCCATAGTTTCCTAACAATTAACATGGGTATTTTTATAGATTTAAAAAGCAAATACCAACATGAAAAAAGCTAACATAATAAAACACTAGCATGAATAGTTCATTGTTTCTACTACAGTAGCTTATAAGTTTCAAGTAACGAAGTATTACGACTACAACACAGCCAGTAATGGTGCTCTGTTGAGTTTTAACTCTGAGTTGACTCTCGGCAGAAGAGATATGAACAAAAAAGTATCTTTGAAAATGAAATCCTATGGCTATTTTGAGTTATTGTTCACCAGATATGAAAAATGATTAGAATTTTAATACCTTCGTAAAACATCTGGATAATGTTTGGATTTGGATGTTTTACATTTTGATGTTTGAATCTGTCTGCCCAGTTACGTTAGTAGCACGGTAACAGAACCTGCCCTCAACCCACCAATGAAGGTTACCAGAACTCCCAGGAATGCACTTATCTACAAATCTAGATTTGGGATTCTCCAATTTCAGTCTCAAAATGTACCTACTGTAAGGATACTTATGATTATATCATATTGTAATTTGTTTCTCAGTTCACTAGACCTTTTGTGTTCTATTCCGTTTGTGGCGTTTCAACTGTTGTCCTTTGTTCCACTTTATCTTGTTTTTTTCTCTCCAACAGGCTTAAATACTGATAGAACTCACTCTGGATTTGATTAAATTCCTACACTGCACAATCAGACAGCAGACATAAATATCTGGGGGCATCTTAGAGAGAGACGAATCAGTTAAAGAGGACTGAGTGTAGATCAGGTTTCTATCCCTGATGAATATCGATGCGACTTGACCGGTTGCAAAGTGACTCAATGTGTCAGCTCTAAAGAGAGAAGCCATTATATCATTAGAGCTAATTTCATCTTGCTCTACTTGCTCCTCATTGTTATTCAGTCATTCAGTGAGGATGCATTTACAGCTGATTCACAACTATCCATTATTCTATTTTTTACTGGGTTCAGAAAACCAGTATTGCAGTCTTTGAATTTCAGTTTTGCAGATTTTTTGCTTTTAGCGGTTGGTACTTTTCAGATTCCACTTAAATCAAAGCAGTTATACTCCAAAGGATGACAACTGGTTTGTTTTCAGGAGAACAGCTTATTGAGCATTTATATCACTTCCCCGTTTTTCCTCAGGTCATCCTATTATATCCACCTTACCGTAGCCTGTGTTTGCCTCACAACCATGGGGACCAGGGCTGTATAACGCTCTGCTCCCAAACTCTGGAATTCTCTCCCACCAGACATTTGTAACATTGACACTCTTTCTGCTTTTCCACTGCTCACTCCTGCATTATGTAACTTTTGGCTTACATGATGCAGTTTTTTTTTTTTACAAAATGGTGGTAGACAGGATGATTCTCCTGTTGCAGCCTGTCTTAAAGTACAGTGGTCTGAAGAAGCCTCTGACTGAAAAACCTATTGTTGAATGACTGCCTTGTGGAAAGGGTGCCCAGGGTTCTCCATAATGATTTTAGTTTTATGAGGAGGTCTCAAAATTAACTGGCCTTTTTATTTCCATATTTGAGCTTTTTCAAGTCAACAGCTCTGAGTCTACTGCCCCACCAACAGATGATGGCAGAAAAGAGGACACTCTCCATAACAGATGAACAATAAAGGACCCAAGCCCTGTCAAGAATTACATTCTGCTCTGTCCCTTATTGTATATGGCTTTAACCACTGCATCTCCACTTTAAGCTGTTCTCTAGATACTGTAAGTGGTTCTCAACCTTTTTAAGTCACATCCCCCAATTTATCTTCCACTGCTGCCCATGATCCCATCCCACTGCCAATTCAACATTTTTATACGTTGCATTTACTTAATAAGACAAGCACTTAATATTTATCATCTTATTTTGAAACTGGGATTTTTCAAAAAACATAAAGCAGCTTTAAGAGGCTAACTTCCCAAACAGACTGTGACAGTGGTCTCTTTGGAAAAAAAAAAACATGTTTAATTTCAAACACCTATGTTTCTGGGATCTTAAACATCAAAAATATCTTTCTGGTCAAGAGCAAAGATGTTTTTCTGTAACTGTTTAACGTAACGTCTGGCCTGCTTATTTGAACAGAACAGCTTCTTGGCTTTATGTTAGAAACGGCCAAGATATCACTTACAGGAGTTGTGATCTGTATGTGTTTTTCATGTATTTCACTGGTTTGAATTTTTAAAATGGCTGTTTGAGACCAACCCCTAGTGATCCTTCTATGTCTGGTAAGAAGCTGAATTATTTTGCACACTTATATTTTTCCAAAATTATTTGGTGACTCACAGAAATCATCTCGTGACCCCAATTGTGGTTGGTATCCCAAGGTTGAGAATGGTTGGTTGAGATATTCAAACCTCCTCCACCACCGTCACTTCTTCTTCTAAAATTGTTATGCGCATCCTCTTTCTTTCTTTCTTTCTTTCTTTCTTTCTTTCTTTCTTTCTTTCTTTCTTTCTTTCTTTCTTTCTTTCTTTCTTTCTTTCTTTCTTTC